CACAGGCCACTGACTACACAGAGGTAGGAAATCACCCTGCACCTCCCCTCCCCCAGACATGGACTCAGCGGTAAAGTTACAGCTGACCCTGACATAGTGCAAGGACCAGGACTTTCCCAGAAACACTCCAGGGCCCTGCCCCTCTGTGCCAAGCACACTAGATGTAGGCAGGCAGGCTCAGCCCAGCAGGATCCAAGTATGGAGGGGCTTAGTGTAGGTAGATCCAGGTGTGGGGTGATAGGGTTCTGTGTGGGGCAATCTGGATGCGGGTGGCTTCGTGGGGGGTCCGGGTGCGAGAGAGATCTGGATGAACAGGGGCTCACTGGGGGGTGGTTTCTGGATGCAGACAAAATGAGTCTCTGCTGGGGTGTCCAGGTGAAGGTGGTTGGGGCTCAGCAGGGGGGAATGGGTGTGGAGGGCTCAGCGGGGGGGTCCAGTTGCTGGCTTGGTGGGGTGCAGGTCCAGGTGCTGGCTTGGTGGGGTTCAGTGGGGTGGAAATCTGGGTGCGGGAGGCTAGTAAGGGTGGTCCAGCTGCAGGGATGGGAGTTCGAATGCAGGGGCTGGTCTGGGTGCAGGGGTGGGGTCCAGATGCAGGGAGGTGGGGCTTGGCGGGAGGGTCTGGGTGCAAGGGGCTCTGGATGCAGAGAGTGAGGCTTGTTGGGGTGTGGGTTTGGGTTCAAGGAATTCAGTGGGGGGGTTCTGGGTGCAGGGCATGAAGCTTGGCAGGGCAATCTGGGTATGAGGTGGATCTGGATGTACGGGGGTTGGGCAAATGGGGGAGTAGCTCCCTGTACAGTGACCCCTGCCCCCCACAGCTGAGTAGTGATGGGAGCAAGAAGCGGGGTAGGGGGGAGAGTGCAGAGCTTCCAGCAGCTGGGGAGGTTTCTGGAAGTGGGTCTGACCCAGCCCTGGCTGCTTCTTGCAGAGGAAGAGGAAGTCCCATCCTCCCCAGCCAGCCAGGACTAGTAGCTGAACCTGGCACAGGATAGGAGCCACTGGCCAGGATGTTCCTAGCCCACCCCCCCAATGATTACCACTCCGCTGGCTGCTCTGGGCTCCTGAAACAACGCATCCGTGCTGCAGGGGAACGGCACATGACCAGTCTTGTGGCTTCCCTTTGCTTCCCTGTCAGAAAGTCATTTTTCTGTGGGGAAGCAAAGAAATCTGTGGGGGACATGAACTCTGCGCAGGTGCAGTGGCACAGATTTCCCCCAGGAGTAAGAAGTGGACACAGTATTCCTGCTGCAGTGCCAAATATAGAGGTAAAATAACCTCTCTACTCCTACTCAGGATTCCCTTGTTTATGCGTCCAAGGGTTCCATTAGGCCTTTTGGCCATAGCATCACACTGGAAGCTCATCTTCATCTGATTATCCACCACGACCACAAAATCCTTTTCAGAGTCACTACTTCCCAGGATAAAGTCCCCTATCTTGTAAGTATGGCCTACTGTCTTTGTTCCTAGATGTATGTATTTACACTTAGCCATATTAAAATGCATACTGTTTGCTTGAGTCCAGTTTACTAAGTGACCTGTCCTCTTCATTATTTACCATGCCCCCAATTTTTGTGTCATCTGCAAACCTGACACATCATATGCTCTCTGATGTGCTAGTGTAGCTATGCCAACACGTACATTTGCCAGTGCTTTGCCCCTTTCTGCCTACTTGTGCAGGGGTGGGGAAATGAAGCTCCTGCTGCCCCTGCATGCTGGGAAGCAATAGTACAACACACTGGTGCAAGGGAATAAGGAGGCACTTCAGGCCCCTTTACATTCCACCAGCTTACAGGACAGACCACAGTGCCCTCTATCCGACAGGAATGTATTTTTATTCTAATTTTACAGAGGAGGAAAATTAAACACAGAGTGGTTGTGACTTGGCCAACATTGCACAATGACTCGAGAGTAAATACAAGGTGAAGACTAGGAGTTCCTGTCTCCATGCACAATGCACCAGACTGTTGGCAGGGAGGTAGTATTTGGTTGGATCTGTGTTAAGAGTTAGGCCAGTGGTAGAGGGTGGGTTTAAGTGACAATCTCGTATAGGGTTCAAATTCAGTATCAATTTCATAAGCTGTTTTTGTGAACATTTGGCCATTTTGAATGATAGAAATGTTGCAAGATTAGCTGTTGTTGCATGATTTCCACAGTCTTAGTGTGACTAGGTGTATTCTGCCTTTGCAGCTCCCTGACTGGGAGCCCCGCGGTCCTACTATACCCCAACCCAAGAAATAGCAAGCTGAGAGGAGAACAGCAGCGAATATGGATCCTCCAAGCTTGCCTAAAGAGGAGTCTTTAGAACAGCTGTTTTGGAAACCACAGGAACCAGGTCCTCCAAAGGCTAGAGGGATCTGTAGCAGCCAGTCAGGCCCTGGTGGCCCAGATAAAAGGAACTGCAAGGGCCTTAGCTGTTCAGTTCCTGGCTGGGAGCAGAAGGGAAAGGAAGGGTGCTGCCACAGGAGCTTGTGGGATAGCCAAAGATTGTTTTCTGGCAGTATTTTGCAGAGCTGGGTTTGCGAGGAAAGATAGTACCTAAGAACCTTAGCCCTGGGATAAGGATGAAGTTAAAAGGCCTGGTGGGAAGAGGCAGCAACTGATTGACTCAAGCAGTGTATGGCTGCTGTGTGTTGGGTCCCTGACCTGAGTTGGAACCCAGAGTAGCGGGCAGGCCTGTGTTCCCCCATAGGTAACATGGCATAAACCCCAAGATGGGGACGGAGTTTGTTTGGGAGCCTGAACAAGTGGCTGAACTTAAAGGACGCAGAGCCACTGCTGAAGACCCTAGCGAGGGCCAAGAGATTGTTTATTTATTGGACTCTTTAATACCCTGGGAAGGGTTCACTCAGAGTTTGTGACTTGGACAGAGGGCTAAGCCACTGAACACCCACCAAAGTCAGTCTGCAGGAAGCACCTGAGAGAAGGACTGCAGTACTGCCCCAAGGAGGTGCTCAAGAGGTAAATTCTTCACACTGTGGTTGAAATCTTGTGAAAACAATCTCATCTGGGTCAAAAAAAGAAAAAAATTGTCCCATTCTTGTTCGGGCCCTGACTGAAACCAAAACTATAGGTGCTGGTTCATATCTGTGCAGCCAACATTTTAAAGGGGTTTAAGGTTCCAGTTTTGCTTCATCTCTTCATCTGCTTAATCTTCATTGCTTCAGTGGGTAATTGTCCCAGGGAAATGCAGCAGTAAATAGTTAAAGGGAAGCAGCAGGTGGCTGCTACTTATAAGGTCCCTGGGTTGGGACTTGGAGTACTGGGCATGCTGGGTACGTGTACACACACCAATTCCCTGAAAAAGGGGAGATTAAACTGGCCCAGGGAAGGGGCTGAAGACCTAGAAAGAGGGGCCGCATTCGTGGGACTTCTGTTACAACACAGCCATACCCACCCGGAAGGGGACTGAACTGTACAGAGTGATTCAGCTGGGACAATAGGTGAACAATCTCCAAGGAGGAAGCCCTGGGGGCACTGCTCCATACCAGAGCAAGGACAATTTAAGACAGAGCCCAAGGAGGGCTGCAGGAACAGACCAACTGTAGGTACTTGATAGGCCCTGTTGGACTTGTGTCCAAAAGGGAACTGTTTGCTGTTTCACAATAACTGAGGGCTGAGTCACTGAAATCTGCCTAAGAAGTTTAACTGCCAGCAGGGATCACCACAAGCAGAGCAACGCAGAGGAAGTGCAGGTATAGAGACACACTCAGCCAGTACGGGTGCTCATGTGAAGTGAGTGGGCCCTGCCACACCTCCCTTGAGAGCATCAAAACTGCACTGCTGAGAAATTCATGGTCATGGGTGCCTCTAGTGCTTATGAAGATACATAATGCATTCTTTCAAGTGTAAGTGTTGTTAGGTATGTACTATGGCTCAAATTACCTTAGGTAACCAGTTATTAAATTCCTCCATCCTTCCACTTGAAATTCTGCTCTGAGTTGTAGCAGTTCAACATTTTTATTTTCCTTTGTTTAAATAAAGAAAAAGAAAATCTTGTTTGCATTCCTTGGAAACTCGTAAAATGCTCCCTTTTTGGTTTATTTTCAATTTATTAATACTACAAATAACTCTTCTTCAGTAACCCACTTTCATAGGTCTCTGGACACGTAACAAAAATGTAACTCATCATGAAGGCAGTGTAGCCTAGTAAATATCGGTGCTGGTGCACAATTGAAACCAATGTGGTACTTTCTCCCCCCACCCACAGTTCTCCACACTACTTATACAATAAATATTACTACAATTCGCTCCTCATCCTACAAACATAGCCCAAAAGAAATTGAATGTTTGATTCAGGGGACAGAATTTAGGATTTCTTGTATTCTCCTGGCTGAATTAATTTTACCCAATGTCCATCCTGAAGAATGTGTCCTCTATGCATAAATATGTTGTTTCTTATTGACACAAAATAATATTTCAAAAAGAGGCTCCCTTATAAACCCTTCTGTGGCAACTTCCAAAACTGCAACATCAGTGTTGCAGTTTGGGAAATTATGATTTTGATTGGGCTCTTGGCCTTTTATTGAAATATTGTATATGTGCTGTAAAAGTACAAATTTGCATAGAAAGGGAATCTATGCATAGAATAAACACAAGGGACAAAGGGGCCACTGAAGTTAATGGGGTTTTACAGTATGCAAGTTCAATGCAGATTTTGGTGCAACTAGAAAACAAACCTCCTTATTTTTAAAAAACTATAGGCTTCTTTATCTGAAACTCCATCTGTTCAGAGAGACTTTCCTTAGCAAACACAATGACTAGTTGCCCTGTGTCCTTTAGACTGCAGTATACTAAGAACAGGACCTCCTGAGCATGAGTGATGTTTCTTTAGTCTCTCTAGCAATGCACATCTTTATTATTAGCCCCACCATAGGGTGTCCAGTGTTGCTGCCATCCCCAGAAGGTCAGCCAGATAATAATCCTCTACAGCAAAATCTAAGGCTGACTTGGTGACTTCTGATGCAGATTTGTTTTCTTTTTCAGTAAGTGTGGACGTCTGTGTAAGTGTGAGACCATCATGGTGGCATTTAAAGGCGTCTGGACTCAGCCTTTCTGGAAAGCTGTTTCAGCAGAATTTTTGGCCATGCTAATTTTTGTCCTCCTCAGCCTTGGCTCTACAATCAACTGGGGTGGATCTGAAAAGCCTCTGCCTGTAGACATGGTCCTTATCGCTCTCTGCTTTGGACTGAGCATTGCAACCATGGTGCAGTGCTTTGGACACATCAGTGGTGGCCATATTAACCCTGCTGTGACTGTTGCTATGGTCTGCACTAGGAAGATCAGCCTTGCCAAATCTGTCTTCTATATTGTTGCCCAATGCCTGGGTGCCATAGTGGGGGCAGGAATTCTCTACCTTGTCACACCCCCAAGTTTGGTGGGGGGCTTGGGAGTTACTACGGTAACAACTTTTGCTCCTACTCTTAAAGTAGAATAACCTTTTAGTGTCAGATTTAAACCCAGAAAGTAGAAGTGATGGTTTAAGTGCATTGCTGGTTTATTTACAACTCCTATATGTGACTTAGATCTCTCATTAGGATGGGTTTATGCTGAGCAATATTTACAGCAATTCTTTTACAGAAGATTTCTCTTCTAGAATTCCCCCAAATCTGGTAACAGCAGGTAATGCTAATCTACGTTCACAGTTTAAATATACATGCATGAAATACAATTTCAAGAAGAATTCTGAAATTAATTCTATGCCATTATGATGGTGATTGAAAAAACATCAATTTAAAATGACACAGTTCTGAAATAGATTGTGCCTTAGATTTCCACTTTGTTCTAAACTAATAAGGAATGCCATCAGTTAGCCCTGTTGCAGGACTTATTAAAAATGCACTTGAGCCACACGCTGCTTAATTTTTAATTGAAATTTCAATTAATTAAGTCGGGGCTAATTAATGAATTTATAATTGAATAGTAAATTACAGTGCTCCCAAGAAAAAAAGTTGTGCAAGTTTAAGTGCAGCATTTGCAAATTTGATATGTAATAAATGCAGTCTAGCTTTGAAGTTCTACATTAAAATCCAGTAAGAACTTTCTTTGTCAGTCCATCAGTAATTTTCCATGGCTGTCAAAAAAAAAAAAGGGTAGGAAATGAATCCATACCTTTCCAAAGTACAGTGCCATTTCATCACTGTGCATGACTAAACATTTTAAATCACAAAACAATTAACATTTGTAGTAGCTTTTTGAACTGCAAACTCACCTTTGCTTCATCTTCGGTGGTGGTTTCTTTTTCCAGGTACACGGAGATCTTTCCGCTGGCCATGGACTCCTGGTGGAGTTGATAATTACATTCCAGCTGGTTTTTACTATTTTTGCCAGCTGTGATTCAAAACGAAGAGATGTCACTGGTTCAGTGGCTTTAGCAATTGGATTTTCTGTTGCAATTGGACATTTATTTGCTGTAAGTTAATGACTTCTGTTTAAATAATAGAGCCCTTCTTCCACTGTCCCTACTCCAGAACGAGGTGGGAGCCTTTAGAGGTGAAATTCTTTAGTAGCCTGTTGGGGATCCATTGCAAAGCCCATTGAAGTCAATGGGAGGCTTTCTATTGATAGGGCATTGGATCAGGCCTTTATCTGTCTATGTAGATGTTAATTTTGTTAATTCTGTCACTAGAAGGGTGATCTGGAGAATGATAATATAGTCTGATACTACAAAGGTGGGCAGGAATACAAAATCAGAAATGGCTCAAAGTGGTTTGGGTGACAGTACAGTAACTCCTCACTTAACGTTGTAGTTATGTTCCTGAAAAATGCAACTTTAAGCGAAACGATGTTAAGCGAATCCAATTTCCCCATAAGAATTAATGTAAATGAGGGGGTTAGGTTCCAGGGGAAAAACTTTCACCAGGCAAAAGACTATATTATATATATATATATATAATATAGTCTTTTGCCTGGTGAAAATTTATACACACACACACAGTATAAGTTTTAAACAAACAATTTAATATTGGTACACAGTGATGATGATTGTGAAGCTTGGTTGAGGTGGAGGAGTCAGAAGGTGGGATATTTCCCTTACTGCTAAATGATGAACTAGCAATTGGCTGAGCCCTCAAGGGTTAACTCGCTCACTCTACAAGGCAGCAGGAATGGAAGGAGATATGTGCATTTCCCCTTTAAGTACACTGCCTTGTTAATTAGATCAGCTTGCTGAGACCGCAGCTGCTGCAAGCTCCCTCCGTCCTGAGCCCTGGTGTGTCCCCCACTCTATGGAAGATGGGGTAAGCGGGGTGCAGGAAGGAGGGGGACACCCTGACATTAGCCCCCCTCTTCCTTCCCTCTCCCCTGCACAGCAAGCAGGAGTCTCGGGGAGCAGCTCCAAGGCAGAGGGCAGGTGCAGCACATGGCAGTGGGGGGAGGGACAGCTGCAATTGCTAGCTTGCTGGGAAGCTGCTGCACAGGGAACTTAGGGGAGCGGGAGCTGATGGGGGCTGCCGGTCCACCCTGGTTCCAAGCCCCCACCAGCTAGCTGCAACCAGCTGCTCTTCCTGCAAGCAGTAGACAATGCAGGCGGCTGCCAAACGACGTTAGAAGGGAGCATTGCACAACTTTAAATGAGCATGTTCCCTAATTGATCAGCAACATAACAATGAAACAACGTTAACTGGGACGACTTTAAGTGAGGAGTTACTGTACTGAATTACAGCAAATGGTGATAGTAAATGGTTGAATAATAATGTTATAATAATAGCAATAGTTAACATTTTATTTTTACTGTAGATCAACTACACTGGTGCCAGTATGAATCCTGCTCGATCATTTGGACCTGCAGTTATCATGGGGAAATGGGAAAACCACTGGGTAACTGCTTTTATGCTTCATTTACAATAGCAATGACCAGCTACCAAATTATATTTTTTTCTTCATTTGCTCTTCTTATTTTTCATAATGTTCAATAAAGACAATCACTGAGAAAGATGGCCACTGACCTTCCACAAACTTTACCATATTTATCTATTCTTTGCCTAAAGTACAAGTGTTAAAGTTGTACTCTGTCCTGTGTGGGATGAATTATAATTGCCTATTGTGTATTTGGAGGTTGGATTTTTGAGGAGGCTGCAAGCATGGAGAGAGAATCAGGACATGTTAAAAACAAAAAACGCAATGTGATCAAAAGAATTGTTGTTATTGGAAAAAAGATACTTTGAGCTTGACGGCAAACCCCTCAGTCAAGCTGGTGAGTAGTTACTCAGGTAATCCACTGGCTTCACATTTTCTAAATGCTTTTAAAAAAAAGTGGGCCAGATATACAACATGAGAACTTCTCCATTTTGATCTGGCATCAGTGGTCATACATGAGTAACTTCTCACCAATGTGAGATAATGGGATCAGTACCTGGCCTTGTAAGAGTAAGACCGTAGCTAAAAGCATAGATATTTCCTGCTTTGATGAGCAAGCATCAGCCCAACTAAGAGTACATGTGTAGGAAGCTTTTTTGATTAATAGATTTTGCAGTGCTGACAATGCAATAGTTTATTAAAGCATTCTGGATAAAATAATTGTTAAAAACAAATTCACGTGTGATAGGCGAGAGGGGTAATGTCTTACTTTCCTCAAATTAAAGCCATGACAGGCATTTTTGGAGACACTTCCAATATTATTTTTAAGAAGGCCACATACTTTCGTGTTTATCTATATTTCCTAATTTGAAACAATGGGCCCATCTTATCGCCCCTGCAGTTCATAGCAAAACTTTCATTGCCTTCAACTGGAGTAGGATCAGGCCCGTAGGCTCTGATCCTGCAAACGCTTACACCATGCGTAACTTTTCCTCCACTAGTCAACGTACAGAAGTGGATTTACTCTTACCACCAAATGGTTTATTCAGCTTTTAAAACAACTGTAATTATTCACAAGATTAATTAGTTATCTAAAGCCGTCTAATACATAACCAAAGCTGTAAATATGTGTATAGTATTTATTGTAGCAACAGCCCAGGGGAAGCAGAACTGCTGTCCTAGCTGCTTGAAAGATCTCTTCTGCTCCTGAAATATGAGACAGTCACCTGCCCTTAGCAAAGGCAGGTGGGACCTGTAACAGTACATGGCTAACTAGTATTGCAGGACTATTGGGAATTATGTTGAAGCAAATTGGCACACCATGGATTTGTGTGCAAATAGGATAATTAGAAGTCTAACTGCCTCTTCTGGATGAACAGAAATCAGGTATGCAGAGCTGTCTGCAATTTCAGAGACCAGGTTTGGATTCTTTTGAAAATGTGGTCCTAAAAATAGAAGTAGAAATATGTGTTTATGCACTTTTATTTGTTTTCTGCATTTATACACCATAAATTGCTTCAGATTTCCCTTCTACAAAACTGGGATGATAGCACTTACCCATCTCATAAGCGTGTTGTGAGGACAAATTCATCAGCGTTTATGAAATGTTCAGATACTATGGCGTTAGAGGCCACAGGAGTACCTAGACAGACACAGCCTCATTGCTCAGATCATGTCCATTTCTGAGCAAGAGAGGTCAGTTAAGCTGTCTACTCAAGGGGCTTTTGTGGACAGTCATCCATTTAAAGTCTTCACTAAATTGCTTTTCTCTGAAACATTTTCCTTTCCATCATGTACCCTTGTGGGGTTTCTTCCCTCTCTTGTAGGTCTATTGGGTGGGACCAATAATAGGAGCAGTCCTTGCAGGTGCCCTTTATGAGTATGTATATTGCCCAGATACTGAGTTCAAGCGACATTTTAAAGATGTCTTCGGGAAGGCTACCCATCAGTCTAAAGGGAAATACGTGGAGGTGGATGATAGCAGGAGTCAAATAGAGACTGACGACTTGATCCTGAAGCCTGGCACGGTTCATGTGATTGACATTGAGAGTGAAGACAAGAAGGGGAGTGATCCAACCAATGAGGTGCTATCTTCTGTATGACTAGCAAGGAGCACTGAAAGCAGAGAACGGCCTTCTAGAATGTCCACAGATATCCTTCCACCCATTAAAGAGACAGATCTACTGTAAACCAGACACCTGCAATATCTGAAAATGTATGGAGATGACAGCAGCTATGTAGTTGCTTCACCAAGCTGTACACCTGCTCAGTTTGATTACAAATTTACTATATTTAAGAGTCCCCACAGATTCTCCCAAATTCAGAAATGTCCTTTTTTGGGAGAGAGCATTCCCAAAGTCAATTTGAAAGAGCTGATAGCATTCCCTTTTTAATAAGGCCATCAAAAGCAAGATGGAAATAGAGATGTTTAACATTCAGATTGACAGTTAAGACTTATCTGCAAATGCCTATAGCATGCAGACGTATTTATCAGATTATTCTTCTGACACTTAATTGGCTGTTGTCAATCCTGATTAGAATGTCTTATCCATTAAGTGTTCTTTGCAAGGTTCAGTGACAATAATGCCAAAGTACAGCATGTAACCGATTCATCCAAATTTAAGGTAGTATTGTTTGTTCTTGTATATCCTATCATTTTTTCTTTACAAACTCTGAAAAAACTATATTTTCATAGGCAAAAATTGGTTCCTGTCAGTCATCCTACCAATTTTCATCCATTACATATGCATGTTCTGGTGTAAAAAATACTGCCTTCCTCCCGTTCCCCACAACTAAAAATATTGAAGCCAAAGGCTCTAATCTACTGCAATAATGCTGTAAAACCTTTGAATGTATTGTATGCAGGTTAGCATAGTTGTCCATCTGGTGAAACATTGTCTTGAGATTCAGCTATTGACCATTTAGTATTAGCTGACTATAGGTCATGCAGGGAACCTGAAGGCCCACATGTTTCTCAGTAACTCAAGCAAAAGGAAATAAATGTTCTGGTATCAGAAGAAAGGAAGGTGTTGTCTGTTTTCAGTGCACTTATTCAAACAAATATCACTGTGCTAATTTATATAACTAAACATTTAAATTACTTACCCACTTTGCTGACAATCTTATTTTTATTTATTAGCAAAATAAAGGTGGATTTTTAAAAAAACTTTTAACCATATTGAAGCACTGACTGGAAAATATTTGTAATAACAAGTTATATTGATATGATTGCTTTTGGTTTTGACATTTTTTTGCAAACTGGTCTCTAGTTAGTTGAACAGCATCAATGTTTGTGGCACTGTTCATATAATCTTATTCTGTCATTTCTGTGGCAAAGTTTTCTCTGTTAATTAAATTTGACAGTAAGAAATGCAAGCATGTGATGCTTTTTAGAGAAACAGGGAAAGGGATGTCCCAATGATATTACATGCAAAAGTGCTTAAGTGACCAATCCTTCCTTTATAGAAGTGTTTCAACAGAGGTAGCTAACCCAACATAAAACCTTTATAGAATCTTTTTAATTAGCTCATGGCTTTGTTCCTAACTAGTTGCGTTGGATTTTTTTGTTTTTGGGGGTTTTTTTTGTGATTTTGGCAATATGCTATTACAGTGCTTGTTGGAACACCATTTTCTGTCACCCTAGTTGTATAGGTTGTATCTAAAACTTGAAATCCGATCATGATTATTTAACTATAGTAAAAAAAAAAGTGGATTGTATGTAATAGACTTGTCTGTCCTTTGATTTACAATATGTGCAAGTGTGTAACTCATTAAAATGAGTAAGGGGGTGTATGTATGTATATATAGTAATGGGATAACAGAACACTGCTAAGTTCAAATCTGTGCATCATTGCATAAGGGCATGTCTATCACCAGCTTATTTCAACCAGTAGTCCAGGCATTATCATGTTATATTCATATTCCTGATCTCTTCCTCGCTTTGATAGCCTCTATTTCTGTAGGAAAGGGGGATGTTTTTCATGAATTGTATATATCTGATACAAGTGCCGCATCAAAATTCAAGAATACAAACATAAATAAGAACATGCAAGATAATTTTAAATTGTATTGATGAATGTTGTTATGTGCTAAGGATGAAATCCATCTCTGTGCAGCATCGCTACATATGCTTACCAGAGAGATTTTGCTAAACATTTAATAAATGCATGATTTCAACAGGCTAACTAAAAGGGACAAGTTGTACAACATTCGTGGACTGTTAGGTAGACTTTGTTTCTTGCATTTCACTATTTTAAGAAGCACAGTATATAGTGACTCATCACTTGTGAAGTTTGTACAGCATCACGTTCTTTAAATACAAGGCTGTGGTTTTTGCACTCATGGCTTGTCTAGACAAAAGCCAGATTCTGTGGCTGAGGTGAGCATGAAACCAGCCAAGTCAATATAGAGACTTTTTTTCCCCTTGTAACACTCTTTATTAATGGAGCGTGGCAAACACTCAGAGTCAGTCCCAGGAGAGCGCCTCACACAAGGAAAGAAACAACCATAAGATACAGAATGTTCAACAAAGAAGGGAAAAAAGGAGGCAGCCAAAACAAATAGGACAAACTGATATAGAATATTGCCACCTGCTCTCTATAAACTTAGGAAGGAAGAGTCAGAAAGTGAGATACAGTGGCTCTGCTCCTACTCCATATGAATTAGAATCATTAACAAGTTTGCCATTGACTGCAATGGAAACAGGATCAAGGCCTAAGTATGTTTTCATTAAGTACATTCTTAGGGCTTTCTCCTGTTCTCTGAGGCTACATCTACACTACAGGGGGGAGTCGATTTAAGATACGCAAATTCAGCTACGTGAATAGCGTAGCTGAATTCGACGTATCGCAGCTGACTTACCCCGCTGTGAGGACGGCGGCAAAATCGACCTCTGCGGCTTCCTGTCGACGGCACTTACTCCCACCTCCGCTGGTAGAGTAAGAGCGTCGATTCAGGGATCGATTGTCGCGTCCCGACGGGACGCGATAAATCGATCCCCGAGAGGTCGATTTCTACCTGCTGATTCAGGCGGGTAGTGTAGACCTAGCCTCTGACACACAATGCACTTCACTAGGGATAGCTCAGTGGTTTGAGCATTGGTCTGCTAAACCTAGGATTATGAGTTCAATCCTTGAGGGGGCCATTTAGGGATTGGGGGCAAAAATCTGTCTGGGGATTGGTCCTACTTTGAGCAGGGGGTTGGACTAGATCAGGGGTCGGCAACCTTTCAGAAGTGGTGTGCCGAGTCTTCATTTATTCACTCTAATTGAAGGTTTCACGTGCCAGTAATACATTTTAACATTTTTAGAAGGTCTCTTTCTATAAGTCTATAATATATAACTAAACTATTGTTGTATGTAAAGTAAATACGTTTTTTTAAATGTTTAAGAAGCTTCATTTAAAATTAAATTAAAATGCAGAGCCCCCCCAGACTGGTGGCCAGGACCTGGGCAGTGTGAGTGCCACTGAAAATCAACTCGCATGCCACCTTTGGCATGCGAGCCATAGGTTGCCTACCTCTGGACTAGATGATCTCCTGAGGTCCCTTCCAACCCTGATATTCTGTGATCTGTTTTGCAAAATCAGAGGTCAAGAGAGCCGTCAGGTATGCTGTTTCATTTTGAAAGTAGATTCATTGGATTTGGGTTTTATGACCCAACCCTAAAATAAATTCCAGCCGTACTCCTCTTTATCATCTGTTCTTCAGCACCACAAGGAGAGATCACCATTTATCCAAGCCACAGTTTGATCTCTCTAAGAAATTGATTTAGCCTGATGTATTGATTTTTATGTTGCTTCTAAATTGTTTTATGGTGGTATCATTAACATAAAATATTTGGGTTAAACAATATAGACTTACATGATCTTTTTAACTGTTTGTATGTGTGATTGCCTTAATTTTTAAAACATATTTATTTGTATTTTAGTATTCTTTCATAGTCACTTATGCTCTACATTTTTTCAGCTATTAGTTTGTTGCAGCTGGTAATGTAACCAATGACCTATTAAGTGATATGTGGGAGGTTTAAAGCTTAAAACTTATTTTGTTTATGATGGCAGACGGTCACTGCAATAAATACACCAGGTTTGTCATCATAATCCCAGAAACTAGAGATGGAGAAGACTTCTTGTATCCGCTCTGTCAGTATAGGATTGTTTCTTACAGTAAATGTACATCATGGCTACTGTGTTCAAAATATTTATTTTTAACTACTGTAAACCAAAAGAAAAAGATGAACATTGAAGGTGGGGTGAATTTAAGCAAATACTTTCAGTTTGCAAATACTGATAAGAAAAATAAATAGATAAGTAATCTATCACCCAAACGATTACTGATCTCAGCAAAAAATGTGATTCCTGAAGCATCTGATATATTGTAATTCTTACCCCATTGAAGTACTAGAAGCTGTATCATTGACTACGATGGGAGTAGGAGTAGGCCAAAAGTCTCGTATCGCATGCTGTGCGTATATCTGGTATACATGTTAGTACACAAACTTGCTGCAATATATTTTGTTTCTGGTTATCAGTACTCTGCTACTGCAGCTAGTTAAAAACATCCTTTAAAATAATCTTACATATTTCCATCTTTTAAATGTTTGGTTACAAAGATGTAACATTTGTGCTTTGCAATGTTTAGACTGCAGCTTAAGAAAATGTATGCCAGATATTCTACACTCGACAATGTTGACTATATAAGAGAAATTACAATCTGGATATTTTATTCTAAGATCAGAGATGCAAACTAGTTATCAAATTTATATAACTCACCATCAAGGCGTGTGCATCTGAGTTGTGCAAGGACTCATTAAATAAACAGGCATGAAAATATATACTCAAGTATTTATTATTCTCTTGTATGAACCAAGTCATAATTGTACAAGTTACTGTAATTCAGGATAAATTGTGTAAAACAAACTGAATACAGGGATGTTTCCACAAAGTTATGTATTATTGAAACATTAGTCACCACAATATCAAAGCTAATGTAGTAGTATTTTAAACTTCCAACATGTAACATTTGGAATAATCTTCTTAAATATATGCTATAAAATAAATAGGTGCTTGTCTGGTGCATTTCCCTTCATTGCTGTATCTCATAGTGTTGAGCTATTGTAAATAAACTATTGTCTGTTTAAAAAAATATATTTGGTTACTGGAAAATATTTTAAAACTATAGCTAAAGTACATAGTAATACAAACAAACAGCGGGTGTCTGAGACCTTCAGATCAACAAATTTGTGCTGTAAAGAACGAATGACTGTGTGAGAGAGAGCGTCTCCCATCAGTGAACAGATGGGTGTGTTTCTGGAAAGACTCCACAAGTTTACTGACACAAGCTAAACAAATTTAGGCAAGGGGTTAAACTGGTTTAAGTGCATCGACATCAGGAGTTTGCGCCCATTTAGGTAAAACAATTTAAAATTGAGTTAGAGTAGTTTCACTTTTCTTGTAGAGCCAAGGGGTAACATTTCTCAAATTTTTATTTGTCAAAAGTGACATAGGCTCTTAAGTGCCTAAGGGTACGTCTTCACTTACCGGAGGGTCTGGCGGCAGGAAATCGATGTTCTGGGATCGATTTATCGCGTCTGGTTAAGACGCGATAAATCGATCCCGGAAGTGCTCGCCGTCGACGCTGGTACTCCAGCTCGCCGAAAGGAGTACGCAGCATCGACGGGGGAGCCTTCCTGCCGCGTCTGGACCCGCGGTAAGTTCGGACTAAGGTACTTCGAATTCAGCTACGTTATTAACGTAGCTGAATTTGCGTACCTTAGTCCGAAGTGGGGGCTTAGTGGGGACCAGGCCTAAGTCGTATTGTCTGTCTTTCCCTGAGCACTAAGTGCCTAAGACATGTCAGAAAATGAGAGTTTGGCTCATAAGTCACATGCACGCTTTTGAGAATTTTACTCAAGAGCTTGGAAGATGATTGGTAAGCTTGCTGAGGAGCTAACAGAAAGGCCAGCAAATGCGGAAAGTGTGTCAGATCAACGGCAACTGTATCCTCATCAATGGTAATACAGGGAGTCTACTGATAAAAATTACCTCATTTCCTCAAAATCAAAATACTCCTCAAATCAACTTCCTCATAATCAAACTTTCTTTTGGACTCTTATCAAGAGTAGATTGTAGAGTGTTTCATGTATTTTAACCCCTCTTAACTTTTATCAGTCAGATAGGACTATCTTGGTTATTAATGCTTTTTCTTTTTTGTCCTTTACCAATTAGAAAAACAACTGATACAAGTACAAAGACTGTAAAAATAACCTCACTTAAAATCACAAGATACTCTTGAATGGAGCAACAAATCTTTACTTATTAATCTTAACCTTGTCATTTATGAGAGAAAAAAACAGGCACCTTCTATGCGGCTCACTATTCCACTCATAGCAAACATAGTTCATAACCTGTATCCTGTAAGTAGATATGGTAGCTGCCTGTCAAACTTTTCACCTCCAATTCTCTTTTGGCTATGAATGCTCAAAAAAGCTATGCAATTCATCTTTTTTAGAAGATTATATCATATAAAGCATAATAGGCTTGTGTGTGTGAATGTACAACTGGACATAGCTGCAGGACTTAATCTTTCCCATGCTTCCACCATCATAAAAGGAAATGGTACAGTAGTACAGTATCTTAAGGTGCTAGAACCTTGACATGTTCCTCTCTGTGTTGCTGAAGTCCATTATTGCCTTTAAAGAGTCATGTAGATTTTTTTTCACTTGAGCCATTTAAAGGCAACGTGGTTGTTTACTGTGTTTTAGAACTTGCGGTTCTAGCACCGTAAAGTACTGTACTACTCTCCCAATATTAGGCAACCGAGGACTGTTCCCTTTTACATCATGATTAAGTCCAGCTATTCTGTATGCTATGTTGTATCAATTGATTATTTGCTTTGTAACAGCAGCTCATTAGTTAATGTGGGGTCAGGCTGACTCAGCATTCATTTGTTTGTTTGTTTGTTTGTTTCTTTTTTCTTTCTTTCTTCCCCCTCCCCCCCCCCAACGCGTGAGCCTTTGTAATTCTGATGATGAGTCTATTCTATTCAGGTTCTCATTACCACTCCCATCTCCATGGTATCTGTAAGCCTAGCTACTTAACAAGGATCTCTTTAGATTGACATGCTGCCATGTTATTTATTGTGAGCAAATAAATTCTAACTGAATGGGCTCGCCAATGATCAGGGGCCAAATTCTTCAACTTCACTGGATCTACGTTGATTTAAACAAGCTGAAGATCTGGCCCTGGTGTTTTTAGAATGGGGATAGAATCAGCAATAGCCCAGAGGTCCAATAATACATTTTGAAAAGACTAATGTGTTTCTGTGGCAACTTCCAGGGCTCTGATTTGACAATGAAAAATTGAGGAGAAATCCAGTACAGCAGTAT